TAAGAAAAGTGTAGGAATAACACCTAGTGACTACTCAGTGAGTGGACCAACATAAACCTGATTTTTGTTTTTTCTTTGAAAGAGTAATTGTGTTGTGTTTGTTGACTATATTGCTGAATTTTCTTATTTTTTAAAAGTATACAATTGTGATATTTTATACATCTTTTCTATAATATTCTTCAAAACTACATGAAAAATATTAGGGCAATTTATAACACTGGTATACATGGCAAATGCTTGGTTTTGTCTAGGTTAGTGGTCCTTAACAAAGGCTTTTTCTCACCTGGTGAAGAGTTGCTTGAATTTTCCACTGATTGAAAAGTTGGTGTTCAACTGGCATTCTTGAAACTGAGAACTTTTCAAGTTTGTGGAGAAGACTGAACACACAGAGAGAAGGCAGCAACCTCTCTTTCTTTTTTAAATTGATTTTTAGAGAGAGAGAGAAACATTGATGAGAGAAACATTATTGATTGGCTGCCTCCTACATGCCCCCTACTGGTGATTGAGTCCACAACTCAGGCATGTGCTTTGATGGGGAATCAAACCAGTGAGTGACCTCTTGGTTCATGGGTAAACGCTCAACCACTGAACCACACTGGCCGAGCAACAACCTCTCTCCTTTTGACCTAAAATTTCCTCTCCAACATCCATCAGTTATTTCTCTCTCATCTCAGGATGAACATGTCCCTTCACTCTTTCAAAATGAACACATCAACTCGTGTCCTAGATCCCAAAGTCACTAATCTTCCTTGGGGCTTATGTTATCTCATCATCCTTTTGACTTCTTGGCTGGCTCTCACCCCTCAGGTTTACCAACTCAGTCCAGTTCTCTCCCCAAACTAATATATGCAAGCCTTTGGCTCGTCCAATAACCAACCACAACCTACCTCCTTCCTTCCTATAACGACCGCCATTGACAGCTCCACCTCTGACTTCTGGCCTTGCCACTTGAGAAGGCCAGGTTCAAACCACCAAATCCAATAGGCTTTATATTCAATCCTTAAATACTGTTGACTCTCTCAGGATATCTCATCATTCCCCCATAAATCCGGTTCGTTCTTTGGCTTCTTTAACACTTCACGTTTTCCTGAGTAATCCACCTCATTTTCTTCCTCTCACCTATTGAATGTGGGCAGGCCTGGTTCCCGGCTCCTGGTTATCTTCCCGGAGGCTTTCATGAGCTGCCCAGCTGCACTTCTTCTCAGGGGTAAAGGCTGCCAAACCTCCTGCCCCCAGTGGTCCACTCAACCTCTCATTTCTAATTGTCAGCTTGTCAGTTCCTCCAGAGGATGGCTTTTAAAACCCAACCCAGACAAATCCAAACCTATCATCTCGCTCCTTGTGGTAGATCTTTTCTGATTGTTTGCCCATGGCTAAAGGGATTTGCCACCATCCTTTGGAAACTGACCCCAATCCACAGGGTTCGCTGCTCAAAGCCACTTGACTTCTTGATCACAGTTGATTGCCACAGGGACAGGCGCCTGCCTGAGGCGGAGCCACTGAGCCTCTCCTAGTCTTGAAGTGAGAGAGACAAAGACCTGGGCTAATTATAAATGGCACCGTGCAGGGAAAGGCCCATGAGTCCCCGGTGCAGGGGTCCTTTAGAACTGTCCCAGTTCCCAAGCTCTTTGGTCATTCAACTGTTCCATGGATTCATGAGATATTCTAGAAGAAGTCTAGTGAGGCCCGCTTTGGGCAAAGCTTGCTTGAGTTGGCTTTTGCTACTTATAGACCTTTAAGTAACACAACCACATACACTTCTCCAGGAATCTCTAATTCTGTCGGGGCCCTGCCACTCCCTTCCCAGCCAGGCTTGAAACTTGACTCTGCCCTGACTTTTCCTGAGGCCCACATTCAGAATGCTCAAGCCCTGCCAGCTTTACCTTCTAAACAAGTCCCCTGCTCTCCACATCCTGGAGTATTGCCCTAGGTGCAGGCCTGTGGTCTCTTTGCTGGGCGTGTCCAGCCTCCATAGCCTCCAGTGGTAGGTAATTCAGAGCACATCGCTTCTCCAAAACCCAAAGGCTGTCTTATGGCTCTCACCACAGCATGACAACCCTTCTCCTCCCGCTTCCCAGGTGCACAGGTTTACCTCCTGCTATTTCCACTCCTGGTGCCAGGCAGGCCTGACGAGCAGATGAATCTAAACAGCCTTCATCTTCACTTCCTCCATGATTCCTGTACTTCTGGTCCCTTTGCCTTTTGGCCCTGGTAAAATCTTTTTTTTTTTTTTTAGGTCTATCTCAGGCCCTCTCCCCATTTCTTTGGGAGAACCTCTCCTTGCTCCCTCCGGGACTGGAGATCTCTGGCCATGTTTTAAGTTCATGTTCATTTCCCCTTCCAGATGGGGAGGCATGGGCTACCTTTAATTCCTGGCACCACCGTGGATGCTCAGAAGTGGATGTGGAGTGAATTCATTCATACACCGTCAGATGTTCACCAGGACAGGAAAAGGCCCGAGAGAACAGCCAGAGCCAAAGTATTTCCTTCTGTCCTTGCTTGCTGTGCTTTTAGCCAAAATCAGGGGATGGGGTGGCGGGGACGGATGGTGGGTGCTGAGTGGATGGATTAGAATGTGACCCAGGCTTCTTGGCATCAGTGTCTGAAAAGCAGGATGCTCCTGGAGTTGTTTTTGATTCCAGGAAGAGCACATTCATATGGCCTTTGCGTTTAAAATTCATTTCCATATACGTTACCTGACTTACTAGGTGCCGCAACCCGGCGAAGCAGTCAAAGTTTATAGAGGCCAGTTGGTGGGTGAGGAGGCATCAACAAGGTCACACTCATAAAGGGCAGGCTTTCCATGGGAGACTGCCTTCTCACCTCAGATCCAGGCTCTTAAAAAAAAACCAGTGGCAGAGTTAAAACACCATCAAACAGGCTATTCATGGAAGTGGGAATAGGTGTGTGTGTGTGGGGGGGCAATCTGCTTCTAAATCATGTCACATTTTCCCCACCCTTGTTGCCAGACACGACAGTGAGGCAGGTTAACCACCAGTACTAAAGGTTATCCTATTTCCAAAAATAGATACTGCCCCCAAACACTTTGATTTGATGGCAAAATACTTTAATTTCTCATAAAGCCACTTCCCCCACCCCATGGACTTGACATGGAAAAGAATCTGCATGCGTGTGTCCTGGCTGAGCAGGAGGATGACGTGTGCATGTACATATATGCATATACCTATAGGTTTATTTCATTGATCCGATCTACACTTCTGGGGGCTGCTTGAAGCATCTTATCAAAAGGAAACACATTGTAAGCAGGAGGTAAAAAAAGCTTTTCAGACCCAACCCACATCCAACAGATTGGTCAGTGCTGGATACACAGATTTGGTTCCAAAGCTGAAATAGACCGTCTCACGAAATTCAGTTATTTTATAGTATGCCATAAAAAAGAGGGACGCATGTCTATTGACAACTTAAATATTAACTCAACAGGCTACCTGGTGATATAAATAGGAAAAAAAAAGTGGTCACGAACTAGGAGTGAGAAACTATGACAGCAGCCTCTCTTGGACTGCAAAGGATGTTAAAAAACTACCCTAGAATCTAAAACAGGAAAAGAAGTCAAATATTCCACTCCATATAGACCCCATCTGGCCCACATCATCCCCCCAAGGAGTATACCCCCAACACATGAGGTTTACTAACCACCTGCTACAGATGTTACTACATCACTAATTAACAATGATCACAGAAAATGTGTCATACCAGAGGTTTTGTTATACACAAACGCCTTAGTGGCTGTGGAATCTTCTCCCAAGGGCTGTGGTCAGAAGGTAAAGTGACAACGTCCACGCCACTTTTCCAAGAAACCACAGCTAAGACACGGGAGCAGCGGAGGGCTGGTTCGCGCAGTGAGCTCTCGCTGGCATGCTCCACACTCCAGGCAGAAGGGCTGGGATGTGGGGAACAGCCCCAGCCAGGGGCTGCCGCCATCTATTCCTGGGCCTCCTTGCGGGTCAACTTGTAGATCTCGGTGGGTCCATCCACGTGGGTGATAGTGGTGGTGAGCTGGAGTTCTTCCCCATTGTGGACTCTCAGATCACCTGAAACAGGGGTTTGGGGGTGAGACATGTTGGAGGAGGAAGGAAAAGAAAGCTGGTTCATCTCCGTAACCACCGCCCTTTCACATTCTGAGCTGACAGCGAAAACCTGGGCACAAACACCAGGGCTCACGCCCAACCTTTTCACTCAGACTTGGCAGTAATTTCATCCACTTTTGTCTCCCAGAGAAGAGAGATGAATGAGAGATGAGTCAGCTTACTGCTTATGTAATTTGTAGTCATTACTAACATTAATGAGAGCTTACTTGGTGCCTGACGCTATTCTCAGTGCTTTACCCTTGATCGTATTTATCCTCACAAGAGCCCTCGAGGCTGATCATGCCAGCGTCACAGATGAGGAAACTGGGGTGGAAGGAAGGTGACTGCCCCAGGTGACGGAACAGACACACAGCAGGGCCGGGAGCTGGGCCGAGGAAGGCAGGCTGTGCTGTGGGCTCAGCCTCCCTGCGGTGGGAAGGCAGGCACACACACCCGTGTTGTGAATAACTGACAAAGTGGCTATGCCATGTGCAGGCAAACAAGACCTGCCTATTACCAACCGATTGGGCAGGGTCCTACGTATAGTACTTTTAAGAACAATTAGGAGTTTTCTTCTCAAGGAAAAAGGACCAGAAATACACTCAATTTTCTGCTACCCCCAGGATTCTGTACACAACACCACTGTTTTGGTCACCCCACACAGTGGCCCTGCAGGGTGCTTGGTCAAAGCTAGTTCTTAATTTGCATATCTGGGAGAGCCATCAAAAGTTCAAAGCCAGATTCAGGATCTGCATGTCTGAGAGTCCTCAGCATTTCAAAGAGTCCTGACCACCCCAGGAAACCGCTTAGCACCTCCAAGTGTTTACCTAAGGAATCCCTTTCACTGAAGACTTCTTAGAAATAGATGCCAGGATGCAATTTTCTTCAGGTTTTGAACCAAAGATGGGAATTCTTTAAGCTTAAAATGTGATTTCAATTAGCAGGCCCTAGAAAAGGTATCTGATCCTACAGATCATTTGAAGAAACAGCCAAAATTACTTGGGCTTCTTTATTTCACAAGTACCTATATTACAGGATGTGCCTGACACTGTCCTAAACACTTTACAAATATCAATACATTTAATCTTCGTCCCAGTCCTTTGACAGAGGTGCTGTTGTCATCATTCCCGTTCTGCTGATGAAGGAACTGAGGCACAGACAGGCTAAGCACCTTGCCCAAGGCCCGAGTTGATACATAGAGATTCAAAGGGGAGCTATGAGACTCCAGCATCCAAGTGCTCAACCTTTAGGCTATGCTGACACTGTAAATATTCAAGTTTCCAACAGCCAGTGAGGCTGCCAGCAAAGCATAAATTCACATGCAATGTGTTACAGTCAGAAATACATATACACAGTAATTTGGATAGATTGTTCAGGACGTTAATTTTTCTCTTTTGTGTCTGATGAAAGAGAATTTATAGCACCAAGAACAGTGCACTGACAGTAAGGAGAGCTGTTACGTATGAGCATTTACCATATGCACCAGTAGGGGCTTAACGTGCCCTGTGTTTCCTTATAAGATGTGAAGACACTGCGGCTCAGGTAGGCAATTAATTTCTCTATGGGATGCAGCCTGCTCTCAGGAGAGCTAGGCTGAGGACCTGGATCTACGCACCTCTGGCTACTGGATCCCTGATTCACCTGTGGTTGTATTGTACCTCAAAGGCCAACTATTTCCCTGCAGGGAATGGATGTGGGAAGGTGGCAGTAAGATGGCAGGAGTGGGGATCCCTCCATTTGTATCCAAATTCCAGGGACTCCCACTCCTGCCAAGGTCTCACTCCATCTGTTCTCCCTCTCTTGGCTTCTGCGGCACCATGCACAAACACACTCGAAGACTCTTCCTTTTCAAGACCAAAAAAACCCTTCCAAAAATGTGATGTGTTTCTTACTGAGGGGGGAGAGGAAGAATAAAAGGGAAAAGAATAAATGATGGAAGGAAAAGAATTCTTCGGTTTGCAATAAGTCTCTTTCTCTGGTTATGATGTCAATTCATCTCTGCTAATTAATAAGACAAAGGCTTCTTTCTTTCTAACCTCTGTGAAATGAGACTGATCTCTGGCACAGGATTTAATCTCAAAGGACTACTGACGGGCCCATATTTTTGGTATCATGGCCAGAGGTAGCTGCTGCTTAATTCCAACTGTCTGCCATGCATACTACGGACCCAGAAACCTACATAAATGGAACGATAATGACATAATGGTAAGCACAGCTTTTAAAGACAGGCAGCTTTTTTAAAATGACAATTATTTGTGTATCTGTGACTACTTTAGTAAAAAGAAGAATAATTCTAAGATTGTTTCACAGAATCTGGAAGAGATCAGTGATCTTCTAATATTAATAAGGGCCACCTAAGACAAATTAACACCCCATTACCCAAACATGGGGGCCAGGGAGGTCACACACCATGAGCTCCTGTTTATTTCTTGAGAGCCAGGATTCCAACCCATCTGTGTCCACCTCCAAAGCTTTGGTTGTTTCTGTAACATTATTAACTTCATTCTTTTCTGTGGGATTTTTTCCCAGTCCCTCACTGACTTCCTTCTATTCACCTTCAAAGCTAAGTTATCAAATGATAACTCCCTAGAAGTCCCTGGTTCGCAGCAGGATGAGAAAATCAAGGTGAGTACAGTATTTGTACAGCAAAATTATTTCCATGCACATGACTTGTTTACTCTCAGATTACGTCCTTCCTATATGTTGCATTTTAATAAAACAGTGGATGGTAGGTCTCAATATTCCTTTTCTTTTCTAAAGAATGTGAACATGCAGCACAGGATCTGGTATGGTAAGCGCTCATTACAACAACCACCAAGATTTGTCTGGTACAGGCCAGTCTAGCTCCCCGCTGTTCCACTCCGCATGGCTAGGTCCACAGCAAACAGGTATGCCGTGGGATGACTCTGCTGTTGTGATTCCTCTGGGGGGATGAGGCATAGTAGTCTTGGTGGGACAGGGTTCAGAATCCTGGGTCCAGCCATCTCTCAATCCCTTTCAATCATCAAACATAGCCTATACCAGGCTCAGGGTGCTGTATTTCCTACCCACCTCTAGACACTCAACACCAGGCAACTGCAAGGAGGGAACACAACAAAGTCTACAAGTTTTGAGTGGAATCCTAGTGTTGTGGGCTGACTTGTATTCCATACCCCATAATCATTTGTTAAAGCCCTAATTCTTCGATACCACAGAATGTAATTGTATTCGGACATAGGTTCTTTAAGGAGGTAATTACATTAATGTGAGGCATTGGGATGGGCCCTAATCCAATATGACCAGTGTCTTTATAGGAAAAGGAGATTAGGATAAAGGCACACACAGAGGGAAGACGATGCGAAGACACAGGGAGAAGACCTGGAAGAAACAACCCTGCCGATAGCTTGATCTTGAACTTCTAGCTTCCAGAATCATGAGAAAATAAATAGATTTATGTTATTTAGCCACCTCGGCTGCTATTTGTTATAGCAGCCCTGCCCAACTGATACCTTTAGGAAACAGAAAGGTCCTCTCAAGCAGGTGACTGAGTACCTTCTATCTTAGTGGGGTGCTGGTCATGTTAAGACTCAGAGAATGTGATTTTAGGTGCCTGGGTAAGGAAGGATCAGGCAACTGGCAAGAGAGGCAGGAGCAGAAAGTGCCTGACTACAAATAGCAGAGCAGGAGGAGTGAGCACGCTGGCGAAGCCGGAGAGGCTGGTGATGGCCTGCCTGCCACCTCTTTCCCATCGTCACTAGGGAGTGGGAAAAGGCTGAGGCCCGTCAGACTCTGAGTCCCGCCCTGGTGGGAAGACCAATTCCATCTAGACATCAAGGAGAAGCCGGGCTGGCCAGGGTGAGTCATCTAACAGGCAACCAGAGAAAAGACCTCAATAAAAGGCAGCCACTGTCGAAGCCTCATGACTCAAACCAAACATTTACTGAGGCAATGAAAGCCAAAGCCACCTTCCCTGTGAACCCAGCAGCATGAGACCTTCAAGGCTTCCGGAAAGTAAAAAGGCCACAGCGGGGTAGCCAGCTCCCAGGACCTGGGACCTGGCCGCTGCCGCTGCCGTGCTTCCGGCAGCCTGAGGGTGTCAGACAGAAGACATTCAGTGTGAGTAGACACAGAAAGAAACCAGTGGGCAACTAGAGTGTCTCCTGATCCCTTCATCATCATCCAGTCAGGAATCCTGTTTCTCCTTTTTTTTTTAAAAGCCTTCTGACAAGAATTCTCCAGACGAAAGAATACAAAAATGAAAGTGGTTATTAAGAATTGTCGGACTTCTTAAGCAGCACCAGCCTTTTCCCCACATGAATTGGTGGCCGGGAGTTGGGATGGTCGGCTGTGTGTATAGGGCCTTCATGTCGTATCCCTGGGAGACTGTGCCCTCCCTCCAAGCTAAGGGCTGACCAGCATCAGCTGAAATCTGTTTCCGCCTAGGAAGATATCCGTAGTGACTCACAGATTGGTATGGGAACAGGAAAAAAGAACGATTTTAATGAAAAGGCAGCAAGAGCAGAGCAGAAAATGTGAGTGGTCCTTGCAAGAACGAGGTCTAAAATACCTTTGTTAAAGTAAAAAAAACACACATGCATATTTATGTATACATATACACACATACAACGATGATATAAACACATCCATGCACACAGGCGTGCACACATATACAAAACCATGCATGACTTACCACTGCACTACGGTAAGTCAACCAACAAGAAGGAAGTCAGAGCTCCATGTGCCTGCAGCACCAACCAGCCACTGAAGACATGAGAACGTGCTGGCTGGGCGCTGTCCTGCCACACCCCGTGTTTCAGGAGGCAGCCGTGGAAGTCTTATCGCCCATCCCAAACGTCTAGCTCTCTGGGAACAAGGTCTGTCTGTGGGCTTTACATCATACCACCTATCTCACCTAGCACCGTGCTGATACTGAGGTGCTCAGTGGTTCATTGCTAAGGGCCACTGGACCCACACAATAAAAGGCAAACAAATACATGAGAGAAAATGCTCTTTGGAAACTGACTCTCGCTTGCACCTGCTGTCCACTTTGTTCCTCTGTCCATTCCCTGACCAAAAGGGAGAAGCAAATGTCTATGCTCTCTGCTCCCACTTCCTCTTGTCACTTCTTGGCATCCTTCTCCATCTCCCAAACAAAACAGCCCTTCTCAAAGGTTCTTTCTTTGGCAGAGGTCTATCTTTTTCCAGAGGCCTCTCCAGGATCCACCTCATGCAGGCAAGAAGCATGGCACACCTGTGATTCATTCTCCACAGCAAGAGAGAGCTGAAGTTTTGGCTCTGGGCCATAAAAGCAAGGGGTAGTTAGCGCAGTCCAAGCCAATTTAAAAATAAAAACTTTCCAAGAGAAAAGAAAAGGAGCATGAATAAGCTGGGGTTGGGGGGAGAAGAAATGTCAACCAGAGAATTTAAAACTACAGTATATCACCCTCAGTGTTTATTTTCTAGGTTTCCATGTAACATTCCAAACCAGCTCTTTCAAAGGAGCTCCAAAATCTTGGCAAAGACACCATAATTCCTAGGCTACAGTGTGTGGCTTGGCGGCAGATGAAGAGATGAAAAGTGAAAGGAGCAGAGAAGAAAAATGATCAGAGAACCCAACATGGAGAGCCCCTTCCAACAGCTCAGCTCACAGCACCATGTGAGGCAAGGGTGCCACCAGCTGCCAGGGGCACAGACACAGCACCATGTGGGACAAGGGTGCCACCAGCTGACAGGGGCACAGACACAGCACCATGTGGGACAAGGGTGCCACCAGCTGACAGGGGCACAGACACAGCACCATGCGGGACAAGGGTGCCACCAGCTGACAGGGGCACAGACACAGCACCATGCGGGACAAGGGTGCCACCAGCTGACAGGGGCTCATGGGCTGCCCTGAAGTCACAGTTGATCATGTCACCACCATAGACCTGCTAGATAGTGTCTCCTTTGTGTTTATGATCAGACAGGGTCCCAAAGGGTCTGCCCACTAAACTGCTTGGAGGATGTTTCTCAACAGGGGCCCTATTGCATTAGAGGCAGGACAGTTCTTCACTCAACGAACTGCTTTGCTCAATGCAGGACATTGAACATACCCAGAACCCGGTCACTAAATGCCAGTGGCACGTCCCAGACGATCTAAAACAACCATGAGCATTTCCAAACACCACTTGGTAAAAGATTCAGGGGAGGTGACCTCCTCTTGAGAACTAGCTTTTTTAATTATTTTTTTAAAAAATAATTTGATTTGAGAGAGAGAGAGGGAGAGAAGTATCGATTTGTTGCTCCACTACTCTATGCATTCATTGGATGATTCTTGTGTGTGTCCTGAGCAGAGATGGAACCCACAACCTTGGCGTATCAGGATGACACTCTAACCAACTGAGCTCCTCGGCCAGGGCCGAGAACTAGCTTTTGAGCTTTCTGTGAAATTGCAGTTCAAGCTGTCTTCAACAACAACAAACATATGATGAGGAGAAGATCAAGTGCTATTCTCAACTGCAAGGCTGCAAGCCCAGGAGGGCAGCAGTCATGCGGTGCCAGGAAAGAAGCCCTACTGGGAGCTTCCTAACACCTGGCTGCAATTCAGCCTCCTGGCCTGCAGGGGGCAGGCACATGCTGTCTCTGCAGGGGTGGCTCCAGCTCTGGCCTCCCACGTGCCTGAGAGTGCCAGAGCTGGGCAAAGTCTCACCTGTGTTTGGAGACCCCTTACCTGTGACAGAATCACGCCCTGGGCTGCGACTTTATGACAGGAGGTGCTCCTCTGCCCCTTCCTTGCTATCAGGAAGAAAGAAAACCATAGAATTTCATGGTTCCATGAGACTCCGGGAAATCACTTACAATCGGGAGAAGTGATGCACCGAGGAGTGAAGCAGTTTGCCAACAGCCATAGAGCAAAAACAACCAGCACAGTGTGTGTACATGAAGCACAGGTCAGCACTACGTAATCCTACCCATTTGAATGATCAGTCCCACATCCTGGAAAGGCCAGCCATTGCTTTTATGTGGAATTTCCCCGGAAGGCAGGAGCTCCATCTTTTGGATTTCTGCTTAATATTCTCAAGTCAAGAACAGGTCCATGTGCTTTGTGCCAAAGTCCAACAGGATGTCCATGAAATGAAATCAAGACTCTTGTTCACAAGCCCAGAATGCCTTCCTGCGGGCGCCGTGGAGGCCCCCTGTTGGAGAGGCTGCAGCTTCCACAGGCCATGCATAGAGTAAAGAAGAGTTGCTCGCAGTGGAAGGGAAGCTGCGGGAAGTGAATGCTGCCTAGCTCCCAAGCTGTCTAGAGAGGAAGTCAATCAAACCCAGAGTTGGGCGGCTGGGCAGGTAAGTCGAAAGGTACTGATGAACCAAATAGAACCAGAGGCATGGATTCATGGCACAGACTTGACGAATGTCAAAGGGGACGGGTGTGGGAGGGTCTGGGTAAAAGAAGGTGAAGAGATTAGCCAAAGAACACATATGCATATCCCATGGACACAGACAACAGTGCGGTGAAGACTAGGAGAGGGCGGTGGGCGGGAGCTGGGTGGAGGTGGGCAAAGAGGAGGGAGATGGGGGACATCTGTAATAGTGACAACAATAATTTTTTTAAAAGTCTTTATTCTTGCCCAGGACCCATGGCCAAAGGAAAACCTGATACTGAGTGTGACATGAAGTCGAGGACCAGGAAGGAAGGCAGGCCTGAGGTCTAGGATGCTCTTGCACAGAGTGGCGGCTGTAGTGCGGAGACAGATGCTGGTTGAGACCATTCCTCTACCGCTGACCCTCAGCACAGAGGCCTCCCCTCCTCGCCCCATTTCTCATGTCACCATCCACCTCTTTTAACCCCACTTTCAAGATCGCTCATCTGTGAAATATGAAAGCTAATTCAGAACTCTTATTTCTAAAGCATTAATTCACTCGACATTTTCAAAGCACCTTAACCAGTCCTCGCCCGTAAGGAGTTAGTGTTGCAACAGGAGTGAGAAGGGCCAGGCGAGCTCATGCATAGCTGCACAGCGAGTGTCGTGTGAGAAGCGTAACCTTGTTCTCCAGGCCTCTTCCCTAGGACGCCGGTTCCAGAAGATACACTGCCTAGAATTAGGGTTCCAGGACCAAATGATGTAATCACTTGGGGAAATGCTGTTACCCCCTACCCATTTTAAATGACTCACAGTACATATTAATGTGCCAAAGGCATTAAGTTGTCTTTAGTAAAAACCCCATTGATGCTGATTAAAAACCCAATGATTATCAAACGTATTTGACCATTAACATCCCACAGTGACAATATTCTACTGAATCTAATTTGCTGAACTCCAACTGGTGTGATCAAGAAAAGGTTTCAAGAAGGAAGAAGCATTTTGAATAAGCCTAAAAGATAGGTAGGGTTTTGCTACGCCCAGATGAAGGCAGGATATAAGTCTATTCATTCACCACACACTCACTGAGCACTTCCTATGAGCAAGGCCAACCCTGGTGCCATGGTGGACAGGCAGACCTTGAACCCTGGTCTCTGCTCTGGCGCGGAGTGGAGGGTACTGGTTCTGATTTGAGGAAGAGCTTCTTATATTTGGGGAATAGCAAGTACGTGACTTGGGTAAAACAAGTGGGAAAAAGATGAAAGAATAAGAGTGGAATGAAACAATAAATCAAGCATCCCAAGAAAAAATGAGCTATCAGGACAGGCGTGTACCAGGCCACGAATTCCAAGTTAACAGCTCTGCCATAGACAGTAATATTCATTTGTTTCTGCCGTGGCTGGTTGAGAAACCTCAGGCAAGCCCTTCCCTTCTATGGGCCTCAGTTTCCTCATCTATAAAATGACCAGACTGGCTAAGTTCTCTAAGGCTCTGGCAGCATCAACATCAGAGACAGCAACACCAGTACTTAAGAAGAAACAGGCTGTGGGGTCTGGTGAATGGCTATTAGTTTGGATACATGTCAACAGCCTTGCAGAAAAAGTGAGCAGGAGAAAAATGAAGCCAGCTCCTTCTTCAATGCCCAGGGCCCAGTCCCACTGCACCAGATATCTTAGGATCACGCTTCTCATACCAGAACCGTGAATGTGGTATCCTTTTCAACAGTCAATTTTGCAAAAACTAAATAAAAATAAAAAATTGAGGAAAGCAAATTTAATTTTTTTTTTTACTAACACTGGGACATGTTTTAGACTAGAATATAATATTCCCAACGTATTTTCAAGGTATATTTTAAAATGAGAACTTAAAGAAGTATTTGTCTTGTGCTGGCTTTTGTCTTATAGTTCTGCAGTCCTTTGGGTGCTCATTCTCACTCAGAGGAGGGAAAGTTTGGGAAACCCAGAGCCTTTGCTAGCCTTAAGTCTTGTAGAGACAGAAGCCTACTTTTCCTAAATAAAATTACACTGAAGAGTCTGGCACTCACCATTAGACTGGTCATCCCCGTAGTTCTTATGGGATGGTGCGTACAGGAACATCAAAGCAAAGACGTACAGATTCCACATCCCATAGATGCCTGTGAAAAAGGCACTGTTCACCTGGACTGTGACACCACCCCACTTCCAATGGCCTTCGGTCACCTGTGGAGAGGAGACAGTGACACGGAATTAGAGCCGAGAAGAAACACAACATCAACATGGGAACAACCAACACAAAAACCAAGTCTCTTCTACACGTGGGAAAAGTGTAGGGCAATGTAGGACTCCAGTTTTTAATCTGAATCATACTCTGAACAGATTAATTAAGGGCTTACTACATGTGTCAGGCACAAAGTCTGCTTGTCGTTTGGCTGCACACCAGAATCACCTGGGAAGTGTCTCTTCCTAAAACAGCAGCACACCATTATCCCTCATGTAAAGAAACTATGATTGAGCCTAACCCTTATCCACAAGTACAACTCCTCCTCTGGTATGTCTTCCCAGCTCTCTGCAAACTGACCGCAGACAGAGGCCAGCTCTGGTTCGTTTACTGCCATTTCTTCAGTCCCTGATGTGCCTTGGGGCTCAGAGAAGGCAAGTGAGTCCTCAGAGGGAGTTTTCCCTAGAGGGGCGGTGAGGGGAAGCGCGGCAGAGGTCTGGATCCAAATCCATCCTCCACCACGCACTCTGTTTAATGTAAGAGAAGTAAAGACTAAGGCTCTGTACTTTAGTTTCCATCAGTGCAAAAGAAGAACTTGTAGGGTTACTGAGGAGAATTAAGTAAAAATATTTCTAGAAATTTCCTGGCATGCAGTAAACACTCAATAAATCTTTTTTATATCCTGTCTTTCTTTGTAGGTCACTCACAAAAGTAATTATGAGCTTTCATGTGCTTTACAATCCTGCAAGAATGTGTTGAGGCTGCTTTTGTCTATGTTAATGACTTGGTAATTGTTTTAAGAGCTGTCTGATGACATATGTGTTATAGGAAGAATTGTCAACAGAACTGTTGAGGTGAATGACTGTGATTTGTGAGATCAATGAAATGATTTTGATCACTTCTGCCTGCCACAGGAAATCTTACATGGGAGTAAAAGAAAGTATTGGACATATATTCCTGTGATAGTTTAATGAGGCGAGGTTAGATAAGCTATCCTTAAGGAGCCCCTTCTTCTAAGAGCTAAAGTGTAAGAGGGTAAGCCATATCTAACTATTAATGACTAACAAACAGGTTGATTTCACCTCCTGTTTTTGAAGCCGTGGGTCTATATTCCTTTGGTGCCCTCTTTATAACCCATAATCCACTAGGGCAGTGGTTGGCAAACTGCGGCGCACGAGCCACATGCGGCTCTTTGGCCCCTTCAGGGTGGCTCTTCCACAAAATACTGACTTCTGCGCATGGGCCACGAAGTTTCAATCGCACTGTATGTGCGCGCCCGCACGTGGTATTTTGTGGAAAAGCCACACTGAAGGGGCCAAAGAGCCGCATGTGGCTCGCGAGCCTCGTTCCCAGGCATAGCACAGCTGTAATGACAAGTATTTCTTCCTGTAACCAGATTAAGTGATTACAGACTTTACCAGTTTTAATTTGACATTGGCAATACATAATTTTTTTCATTTCTGTGAGTCATAATCAAACCACTACCATGAACTCTTATTTATTTGGGGGAAATAATTCATTTTATATGACGTGCTCAGGAAGGTTTTGGCCAAAGAAAGATTTCTTAACCATTGCTGATTTTGGAGCAATGCACCAACATCCAAGCTATTTAGGGCTTACTTTGTAGAAAGGTCTCCAAATGTCACTTTTTCTTATTTTTAAGTACAGAATAGCCTAACTTTATAAGAGTCACAGTACTTAGAGATACCTAAGATAATTTTTTAATGGAAGGGGAGAGGAAGCCTTAAGATAGTTTCTGGAACTATGAAGCAGACACCACATGTACCTGCTGTCCTTGCAAAGGGAGCTCCTCTCCATGCGATTAACAAGGGTCGGCTAGGTTGGGAGAAGTACAGGTGAAACAGGGTCAAACACTTCTTATCCTCTTCTACTCTATTAAGATAGGGGACCTTTCAGAGAGCCTACTTCCTGTGATATAAGCTAGAAATACTCAGGATTGACAATTCTGCTGAAGTTAATTCTTGCTGGGGTTGGCATGATGGATTTACAAAAAATACCCACTTGTGTGCCTGGTACACAATGGTGCTCAACAGACAGATGTTTGCTGAAGGAATATGGGTAAAAGGATAGGGATGTGCAGAAACATGGAAAGGGGGATAGAAACAGTCACGTTTAGGAAATATCTGACTGAAGAGTCAGCAGAAAATACCACAGTCCTTCCCAAATCCCAATAATTGCACTTAAAAGTAAGAGGTCAATAGGTAATAAGTGTTATTTCATTGAAACATTTATGCCTATTGCATCCTTTTAGATCAGTTTAAAAAAAATAGTTAATAGGTATTAGCAAAGCTAAGATTTTAAAAAATAATGGCAAGGATAATAATAGTTAACATTTATTTAATGCTAGTGGTTTGTCAGGAAGTACGCTAAGAATTTTACATGGAAGGTATTCGTTTCAATAACAAACCTATGAAATAGGTGGTTAAAATTTCTATTCAACGCCTGGGTAAACTGTGACACAGAATGTCTTGCCTAAAACTGCTCAGCCAGAAAGTTGTGGCTCTGACTCCAAAAGAAGATCTACTTAGCCATTATACAACACAAGAGTAGGAATATTATCTTAAACAGGGGTGGGTCTCTTAAGCTAAATTATGAGGCAACTATTGTATAAGGTCAAATTTCTTTTGAAAATTCACTTAATTGGCCATGATGCACACTGGTTAATTAGTATATGTATACGCAGGTGTGTTTATTCAAATCTGTACAGTAAGACATATGCACTATATATCCTAGATATAATGCATGGCATATAATAAATTGGATGTATATGCAAAATACAATTTTATAGCAGAACCACTCAAATGCCATGCTCATACTCGGAGGGGCCCCCAGGAGCCGAGGAAATAGCATTTTCATGCGCAACTCTCACGTTTGCTTCAAGACACATGCACGTCAAGATAGAGTTGCAGAATTATCCATACTACTTAATTTGTAGTCTC